AGCCTACGAATAACTGTAGTGCTGAAGCAACAACAAGTAAAAGTGTTGACAATAATTTTAACGAAATTAATGGAAATAACAATGATGGCGAAAACGTGACAAAAACGTACCTGATGTCTCGATAACTCACGATAACACAAATAACAATCTTAATAATGATAAAGATACAGCCGATAATATTTGTGCAGATAAAGAAACGAAGAAAGAACAATTATTAATATTACGAAATAATGTAACAGTTTTTACATTTTATTTCTACATTTCAAATTAATATTCAGTATTAATTTTGGTATATTAAATTCCAATATCTGATTCAATATATATCGAACAGGATAACTACGTTATAATTTATATTTTAAATATTTTTGATACTTCTGTAAACTCATCAGAAACAAATTCCTATTTTGGAATTGAAGCAATCATGTTATATCTGTCATATTCTGTGACTTTTTAAAATCTAATTTTAATATTTTTTAATTTATGCACCATGAAATACATTTCACAATTACTTTTTCATTTAGTGCACATGCATGCAGGTAGGATTCTGGAAAGAATCTATAGTTTTATAGCTTTTATAACTGAAAATGTGAAAATTTGCAAGTGATAAAATTGAATGGGTATTGTTATTATTGAAATTTTCAATTTTTAATATTGCAAGCGACCATATATAGCGAACTTTATTTAACAAATAATAATGACTTATTAATTGTGAATTTTATGTATGAAAATGTTGAAATAGATTTGCAAATGGTTTGTCATAATTGGAGGATAATAATTATTGAATGTTATACAAGTTTTTTTTATTGTATATAAATTTTACAGTAATATCATTACTTGCGAAAAATAAATTTACTGATCATGGGTTTCATATGTGAAAATGTTGAAGTAGATTTGCAAAAAGTCTGAATTATAATTGATGAACATATTATTATTACTGAATATTGTACAAATTATATATTATACACTACAATATTCTATATTATCTTTATTTGCAAAATATTTTTTAATAATTTTTATTAACTATATATGTGAGACATTAGGAATAAGCATCTCGCTAACAGTTTGATGCAAGTTAAATAAATATATTTACTCACAGACGATTCGCTATCAATACTCGTTAGGGGCTCCGTACAATAAAAGGAACAGAGAACAGAGAATAAGAACCTTCATTTCAACCTAGAGAATCAGAAATCATGTATTGCGTGAATACACAGTTTCCGATAAGTTGAAATTCTTATTCTCTCTTCTCTGTTCCTTTATTGTACGGAGCCTCTTGTAGTCCTCTCTTCGCGCGGGCGTCTCTGGAAAACTCGCGACTCTCAATTCTGTCTTTGGATAAAAACTCGCTCGTCTTAGTTCTTTCGAAAACGTACTCGCATTCGAAAAACATTCTCTCCTAACGTTTTCTCAGGGAACGCTTCGTCTCTCAAAATTCAAGAAGAACGCGCTCTCGCGTTGTTTGTATCTAACTCGCGATCGACGCGCCACACGCACACATGCACGTATACCACGCGTTTCTATCGCACACACCTCACGCATATATGTATATAGGTCATTTAAAAAGTATCCGCGGTTTTTTGTTCAATTTTTGAATGAAAAAACCGCAGATACTTTTTAAATGACCCAATATATATATATTTAGTACATACTCTTAGGGGTTCCGTACAATAAAAAGAACAGGGAACAGAGAACAAAAATTTCAATCTATCAGAAATCATGTGGAATACACAGTTTCTGATAGGTTGAAATTTTTATTCTCTGTTTCCTGTTCCTTTTATTGTGCAGAGCCCCTTATAATAAATATGTTACTTTACAAGTAAATATTCTTGTGTTTATCTTAAGTATGTATATACTTAGATTTAAAACGCGTTTTATTTTAGGTGCAAACTCTGGCAAAGGGTACTTTTTAATAAGAGACACAGATGACACTGTATAATATAATAAATCATTACATCTTTGTTGTTTGCTAATGTTAAATGAAGATGATGACAATCACTGTGTTGTTTGCTGGAAAGTACCAAAAGTTAGTCCTTATTAGTACACACACGCACGCACGCACGCACATTCAGTGTTAATTTTTTTTAATGTTTGATACTTCTCTTTATAATCGGAACCACCGACGAGATACTATTAAATACTGTCAATTCTGGGTAAATTTTCGGCTTTATAAAAAGGAGGTAATTGAAGAACGCTGACATTACCGACAATTGATATAAATTCGCTATTATTGACATAAATAATAAATATTTGTCTCATACATTATTAAATTCATAATTTTTTATTACATAAATGTTCCATAAATATGCATGCTTATAAAGCTATAATATCCTATTTATTGCAAAAAAAATTAAAATTTTTTCTTTGCAGTTATCATCTTTGTTGATGATCAAACCCTGACGATATAACATTGAAATCACAAGTTTAAAAAAAAATTGAGTATTATAGAGTTATAAATGCATAAATACGTCTACTAAACTAATAAATCATAAAATTAGCAATATTGTCAGTTTTTAGCTCTTAATATTCTTACATTTCAATATTCACAAGGACACGAACTCCCGTAAGGATGTTGGTCTTTAATAGCATCTCGTCAGTGTCGGAACTCATGCTCACTATTCAATAGTGAGAGACGCCAGGGTTAGAAGGTAACACGTTATTACTTGTAACGTTACATTTTTTTCTAATAACGAAATTGACCACGTTACTCTTGTATCATTACTTTTTGATAAATCACGATCGTCTCGGACAAGAAAGATTGTAGGTATTAAATAAATAAAAAACTTTTTGCCTATTTTTTTGTTTTTTTCACTATGCTCGCTTTAACATAAGAACACTAAAAACTAAAATATTATATAATCAAATACCATAGAATTAAATATTTAAAAGATAAAAATGTTTAAAGATAAATATCTTTCTAAATATCTTTATATACCGTATAGTTTATATTCTGACTTAACATTATCAATTTTAAAAACCTGTTTTAACATTAAAAAAATATAATTGTGCAGAAGACAGGCTTATTCATCGATTTTAGGTTGTAAGCCGATCGCAAGTTTGTTGCGACAGTCAATAGTGAAGTTGATTTCAAAATGCAAGCTTCACATTGGCAACAAACTCAGCAGCTTGCACTAATGTAGAACCGGCGTGCATTATAGATTTTCAGTACAGTCAATGGCTTAGTTTCTACCGAGGGTTTAAACCGGATCAGAATGTAAGAACCAACCAACTACAGTCGAGTATTCCCCTGTCGTTCGACTGTAACAGAGGAATACTCGACTGTAGTTGGTTGATTCTTACAATCTGATCCAGTTTAAACCCTCGGTGGAAACTAGGTCAATTATAGAATATATGAACGTAGGTGAATTATGGAAATATATAAATTATGGAATATCGTAACCAATGAACATGTTAGGAGCCTGTGAGTTTATTAGTTGGCATGTGCTTTCAATTGCTCCTTTTTTTAATTTTGTAATTATAATTCCTGAACGCAGCCTATTTTTTTCAGCACTAGCAGTGAATAAAAGTGAATTTTGGAGCACAGCCAGAAGTATGCGCATATGGCCATAGAGTATGAAAATGTGATTCGCATCGCAGTTTTCGCAGTACATAATTTGTAGTTGTGACAAATTTCCTAACCTGAATTATCGTTAACGATTAATATCTTGTTAATATTTTATTTCACGGGACAGAGTGACGCTTTTCTCGATCAAATTCGTTCGTTTTGGACATAAACGCGTCGAATGAGTCTAATTTCATTGATTTTTTGAAGCGACATGGCTAAACTGAACAATTATCAATATAAATAGTTAATTTGCGAGGATATAAAAAACTTATGAAAGAGGGTAAAATTAAAGTATACATATATACGATTAAATACATAAAAATGTGACTTTGATCAGTGCGCGAGCAAGTCGAAAAGCTTCTCAATTTAGTTTTCTGTTTTTTGCAGTCGAACAAAGGTAAGAGAGATAAAGTTAAATGTTTCTTCTAGTGTTACTGAAATGACAATATCGAAAATAAATTAGCTTGATCTGTAAAATTATAATATAATTATTTATGTAGTACATATTATTTCCCTTATAAGGGACACGTCCCTTTTGAATATCTGTAAAGAATACTTGGGTGCAAATTCGCACCCAAGTATTACTTGTAAAGTAATTTAGTTTAGACGATATTAATTAATCATTCAATTGTTTAGTTAACTCTTAAGCCAGTGGCTTAAGAGCGGCACTTGTTTTCCTGCTGGATTGCTAACTGGATTAGAATCTTGCCACCATTGACCATAACAAATTTCAACATCTTAGCCAATATGGTAGCAAGAATTTAATCCAGCAAAAAAACAAACATTGTGTGCCAACGGTTTTATTTGTAAATATATTTCGGTCTTGTTTAGAGTTTTTTTTTTATTTAAATGTAAGAACAAGAGTCGATAGAGAAATTTAATATTGAAAATTTAATATTTAATAAATTGTGAAACATGTATTTCTGCTTCTATTTTTTAAAACTTTATTTTGAAAAATATACAGGGTGTTTTTGAAAATTTGTGACAAGCTGAGAGATTTCTTAAAATTAATTAATTCGTTAAATATGCTATGTAATAGAGTCAATAATATTTCCTCGAAACAATAGGCATCGATTTTTATCAAATGTTTTTGAGAGTTATATAATACTAATGAGGTTGCCATTTAAAAAATTTGTTGCAGTAAAATACATAAAAATTTAAAATATTTTCTTCCAATCTAATATTATAGAAATTGAGCAACATTCAACAAGATCAAAAAACTGGCATCTTTAAAGAAACACTGGATACAAATTATCTAACAAAATTAGCTTGACCAGATTTATTATCTTTCTAGTGTGTTCTTCAGATTTTTCAAAAATGGATTTACGTAATGATATTAAGAAGGCAACAGCACTTACTTCCTTAGACAACGATGCTAAATTCTATTTATTGCAAGAACCAAGTCAGGCTGCAAAAGATAAAAAAATGAATGAAAGGCCAGTGAGGAAACCACGAAACATACATGTCAGTATATATAGTAAATGTTTCACTCGTTATTAAAAATAATATACTTTAATTATTATACATCTTTTTAAGTAAAATAATTTTAAGAAATTTTATTCTTTGTTAATAAATTGTTAATTAGTTACTAAACTTTATTTTCTAAAAAGAAATCCTTTTCTTAAAGGTATCTCGCCTGTACAAATACTTTTGCAGTCATTGTATGTTAACACATACATAAAAAGTAATATTTGATTTCATATATGCAGTGTACTCTAAAAGTCCAGATATATAAAACGATATATATTTGAAAACGATCAAATATAGCGAAAAATATGTGAGAAGCAAAATTGTAAGACTAAAAAAATATACCTAATAATGATAAGAGTTTGAACGAAGTTTGCAAGATCATATGAAGATCAAGTTAAATTTAGAATATTCTTTTTTTTATTTGCATATTCTTGTAGTTTATTTCCAGAACTTTTCATTATAATAAAATATTGTTCCTCAAATATCAAAGGATTTTATTGTCATGTCGTGTTCCCTTGTTAGAAGTCAAGCATGTTTTGCAAAATCATGCAATTTAATGCTGAGCATAAAGTTTTGACTAGTTGCTGAAAACGTAATATATAATCATACGTATTCAACAATACGAGAGCAGATTTGAAACATTTCGCGTCAGCAGATTCAGAATAAATGGACAACAATTGTTGCTCATTTTGTTGTCAGCAAAATGACTTCCATTCATGGAAAACTTTTTGATTTATTATTCATTTTCATAAATCGTTGACAAATACATGGCAAGTTGGCAGCAATACATGTTGAATTCACGTGATGTCCTATCACAGGCAAATGACTTATACACCTTGTTCTAAATTTGCTGAAAACTAATGCGCTTTATTTTCAGCAACATCGCAGCAACAACACAGACAGGTAGCTATCAGGGTTGCATTACACCCTTTGGTACCTCTGAAGAAAACACCCGTGAAAATCTCAAAAGTATTATAAAATATTTTTCCGTTAAGTACCTCTCATGTTATGAAGTTTGAAAATTACAGTATTGTCAGCATTAGCATTACCCAAGGAGATTGTTCTTATTTTCAGTTTTAATGCATAAATGAAAATAAGAGGAACAACCTCCAACGGTCTTGACTTTGATGTATGTTGTCAAGATTATGAACAAAAGATTTCAAAAAGATAAAAGAACATGCAATAGAAAATGAACATTTCTAGTCGAAAAATTCAACTTAACTTTCATCTTGGTCTTGAAGTCTTTATTTAAAGTCAAACCCTTATCATCAGCAGGTACATTTCTTTAGCTCCATAATTTTGTTTATACATTTTTCGCTTTAGTTTAGTCATTTTCGAAATATTTTAGCTTTTTTGAACTTTTAGAAGATTCTGTATATTATTTATAAATAATTATTCGCTCATTTAATTTCAGTTACTAGAAAACTCTGAGTCATCAGAGAATGATGACATGGATATAAATATATGTAGTAGAGTAAAACCTACTTTCGACAAACATGAAGTCTCTGCTGCCGTTAAAGAGGTAAGCAGATATTCTTATCTATTAAAAATTAAGACATTAACAAAAATACATTTTTCATTTTAATCATAAATAATAGCGATAGGATTTTAAGGTAAAATTAATTTCTGTGTTAAAAAATATATATTTAAGGAAAAATTTAATAACTTTATATTGTTTAAACATCAACTGCACATCAGTATAAAAAAGCTAAATAAAAATAAACATTAATTTTTAAAGATTAATTGAGATGTAGTTAAAAAAATTAAATTAATATGACATAGGTAAATGGTGGACGTGACCTTTCAAATAAACATTGGGAAGAGAGTTTCTTCAGAAATCTTAAAAAAATAATGCAATGTGAGAAAGACATATCTCAAAATTCTTCCAAATATGATAATATAAAAATAAATCAACCTAAGGTTAATAATTTAAACGATATATGTATTAAACAGAAAGATAAATTATATAAAAATGCTGCAATTATGGGTCTTTTGAAAACCAATAAAATTTCACTACAGGATTTAATTATGAATGAAAACCCAATAAGGAAAAAAGACGAATTAGAAACGATGGTAAGCATAAGTAACATACATTATAATTTTATTATAACATTATATTATGAATATTATGTTTTATATATATATATATATTACACATTTGATACGTATATTCAAAGACAGTAGTCTGAACGTAAAAAAAAAAATTTTTCACCTTACATCAGCATGAAATCACATTCAGTGGATGTATGGACACTGATAAATGCCATGTGGAATCAGTTCCTCTTCGTGAAGATCCTGAAATCTGTGTTCACCCTTTACAAATGGGAATAGATGAAAAACAATTTAAAAATATAGATTTTTCTGTACCACGAATTGGTAAGAAGATAAAAGTGACACCACAAGAGCATTTTCTTGAAGCGACTGATGATGCTTCCTTTAATTTTGTAAAGAAGAAAGACAACAGTACATAATTTATTATTATTTAAAAACAAAATTAGCAAAATTAGCAAACGTTGTTTCCTACATGCATTAAGAAATAATATATATATTAGACTTGGATATGCAAAATATAATATGAAATATGTTTGACTTGGATATGTAAAAGATAACACTGAAATAAGTTAATCTTAATTTCTTACAATTATACGAAATCAATGTATATATTACGGTTGCCATTTTTTGACTAGTGGTCTGTTGGAGATTGATGGTCCTTCTGCTAGAGATTGATTATCACTTACAATAATTACCACGAAATTATTGTCTTGTAATATTCTCTCTCTCTCTCTCTCTTTCACGCACACACACATGCGCGCGCGCGCGCGCGCACACACACACACACCACACACACACACACACACACAAAGAGAGAGAGAGAGAGAGAAAGAGAGAGCGCATATAAAAAAAGGGCTTTATATCCAAAGCTCATCAAAATCAATGAGAGAGCTCCAACGGTCCCTTGTTAGAAACGCACAGTAAATTACTATATTAATATCACAATTAAATTTGATGCTCAATAGGCATCTATTAAAGAAATCTCAATTGGAAATCTGTGAATAAATTTATTTATTGCGAAAAATATTATCTCGTCGCGTAGTTAAAATAATTACACATATACAGTATATAAATTCACATGGAATTATTTAAGCACTAAAGATTCCTTTTCGACTGTCATGGGCTTTTTTTTATCAGTTGTGTATTTACATGTACAATCCAATAAGATTCTCGTTGTTAAACGGTTAATTGAAGATATTTCCTGTAAAGTTAAAGATTCCTTCAAATAGCCAATCTCTAACCGAAGATCAGAGAAATGGCACCCGATGTATATTAAAGTATATAGTCATTATGGGATATAAAATTGCAGGTATATTTGTCAAAAAAAAAAAAATCAAAATAAAGATAAATACAAAGCTGTTGAAAGAAATATTACATTAAACAAAAATCTGTTATGTTATGTTTGGACATTGCTATAGTAACAAGGTATTCTAATAGTTCCACACATATAATGATTTGCGAAAATTAACTGTATTATACAATTATCAGTAATCTATTTTTTGTAATAACTAAAGTTGCCGTAGACCTAGAAAACCTGGTAAAGTGGAAATTTAAATTGATCATGGAAAAATCACGGAAAAATTTAAAGGAACCTAAATTTTGAATTTTTCCTTACAATTCTTTTAAATGCTCTTATATTATATATAAAGAGTATTTACAATTTTTTAAATATGTTTAAATATGTTACTACAAGGAGACTTTTCTTGCGTTCATTTCTTGTTTGCAACATTGTTTTTCCATAAAAACTAGAAATTTATTGCTGTAATCGTCATCAAAACTACATTTACATGGCAAACTCCTATATAAAATATTAGGCCGCGTTAGTTCATTTTGGTATATTCATCTAGATGATAATATGATAGAAACATTAGCCACTGATAGGAAAATGAAAGTCCTATATTCCAAAATTGACTGCCTGTACTAAAAATCTATAATGTAATATAAACTGTAGCATTTTCAACACTGGCAATAAATTTGAAACATAGCCAAAGTGAGTAAAAGAAGAATTAAAAATGAATTTTAAACTGTGTATTTTAAAAAGAATGAATATTACGTATTCTTAAGCATATATAAAACGTATTTTACGGCGAATTTCATTGGATGTATTAGAGCGCATGGGTGTATATAAAACCATTAGTACACTGATTTAATTTGAATGTAAAAGTAAATTGAAAGTTATAAGTTGTATATATATAATTCGCAGTCTCGCGTAAAGGAACCACGATAGTGTCGCTGCGCTTGGTTTAGCGCCGAGACACTACCGTGTCTTCTGATGAATAATATAAAAATAGAATTATACAGAAATTTATATAAAATTTATCTGAAATTTATATAAAAATTTAAAAAAATTAGAAAATTTCTGAGAAAAATGTTATAATTCTGACAAAAATTTTTCATATAATTTTTTAAAATTTTTATGTAAATTTTAGAATTGTTAAAATTCTATATAATTTTATAACTTTAGAAAATTTCTCAGAATTTTTATATGAAGAATCTATCTTAGAATATGTACGATTAAGTAAACAGAGAAGAAGAACAAACACCAAAACAATAATTATCTTTGATTAATATCAAAATGTTACTTTCTGATACCACATGAAGATATTTCACTAGTACGCATCACTATAGATTTGTAGCTGTAAGGGCTGGCATCGGGCTTAAGTCTATGCCACAAATTAATTCACTACTAGAAAAGAAGATAATTACTCAGAGAACTACACAGAGAATGACTATTTCTCTCTCTTTCTATCAAGTCCTCAGCTTCTCTTGTATAGAGTTTCTGTAGTAAGAGTTAAGACATCTGTCTTGTGCACTCATGTGCGCATACATCCGTCATTGATAGGGAACATGAGTATGAGATAAAGAACAATATTCATAGTTCGTTCTTATTTCAAAATCGTCTTAAGATGTTAATACAGTCTTCTGATTGGCTTATGATATCTTTGGATTGTACTTGACAGCCTCAAATATAAGAACAGGGCCATAACAGAAAGGCTGACTTATAAACTTAAGATAGTATCTTATGACTTAAGTATTATGTCTATAGTAACGCACAAGAACTGTCTTATGACTTAAGGCCATAGTACCTAAAAAAACTTAAGCAATAATACATAAGCAAGTTGACCAATCACTGTAAAGTCTGTAAGGCTGTAACGGCCGTGTTCCAAAATTACTGCCGGCACTGAAAATGCTACAGTTACGTTATGTACACTACAGATTTTCAGTACTGACAATTAATTTTGGAACACAGCCAACAAAAGCAGTAGCCAACATGTTGATTTCCTTATTACTTACGTCTTACTGCCTTAAGTTTTTTGTGTGCCATGACCCTATGAATACCAATCAAAGTGAAAAAACAAATTATAACAAGCTGTTTTACTGTCTTACTATCACTTTCGTTTTCTGAATATGATGGAACTCTTATTAGAGGAACTCTCGTATGAACACCATCTATCCTACAAGTCTATGGTCTTATTGTTTTAAGTTTTTTTTTGTATTATGGTCTTTAGTGACGTCATGTTTATTAGCGCTATCTGCAACTCCGCAAACAGCTTGTAGCTAAATAATGCAGCACGAATAACATTTCTCCGAACACATTCCTGTTGTAAATCCTGCACAAGAGAAATCATTATCTTTGATTTTGTATTTAAAAAAAAAAGTCCTTTCTTGTTAAATAATAGAATTTATTTTTTTTCATGATTTTTTCATGATTTTACAAAATATTTTATACATCTGTCTTTCAGAATAGACTATTGTTATAATTTCGCTATAAATATGATTATCTTATATTTTCATTTTGAAATATGTTACACAAATTATTACTTAGAGCCTTAAAAATTGTCATCTTTATAAATGCAAAATTTATTGTATACTATTAATAATTCAAGATACAATGACATATAAAAAGATATACAAAAAGATGATTAAATATACAATTATATCGTTCTATTTATATTTGAGTATTGATCAATATGTTTATATCAATTTATCTCAGTAGTAAATACAATACAAACATAATAAATATAAATTAAAAATAATTAAATAAAAAATATAAATTGAAATATACATATATTTTGTATATCATGTTTTGAATAGAGAAAATTAGACGTGTTTAAGTGTTTTATTTTGACTTACAGAGGATATTGTTAGCACAGAATAACGAACAGAAATAAGCTTCAAATATAAAAGCTGTACACATCGACTTTTTTATCTCGGCACATGGTAGAGGTACATATATGAGCTTTTTTACGTAACAATCAAAACAGGTAGTTTTACATAAGTAGCAGCATTTTGCTTCATCCAAATAATCCACCAATGTATATGGTATTATACTTGCATCATACGTTATCCTATAGATATAAAAATTAAGATATATAAAAATTATCTTGATCCATTCATCATATATTTCAAGTTTAATTATGCGATATAAAAAAAAAGAAAACAAGAACCTAGACTTTAGAATGGTCTTAGCTGACCATTCAACAAGACTTGTCATCTTTACTGTCATTGCACTATCATTTACACAAACATTATTTTTAATGTCGTAGGATTCCATAAACGGATTCTCTGTAACATCTAAAAGCTGTAATCGCAGATATGTGATGGTCACTGGTAAATACGACAAACGGTTTCTTGCTACATCCAAAATTTTCAGATTTCGTAAAGTTCTAATATTATGTGGTAGATGCGTCAATGCATTTTGGCTAACCTTTAGATGTACCAAGGCATTTAGGTTTTTAATCTGTGTTGGCAATTCAGTTAACTGTGAATAATCAAAAATTATTATAACAATAATAAATTTATAGACAATAGAATCTGCTTTATTAATTAATATAATTTTTAAATTTAATTGGATACTTACTAAATTACTACTTATATCTAAGAAATGCAAATTATGCTTAATGGCAGTTTGCTCTAGCCATGTCCACTTTGATTTAGGTGATTTTCCAAGATTATTTTGCGACAATAAAAGTTGTTGAAGATGAGGTAAGGTGCCTAGCTCCTTTGGCAAATAGGAAATGTTATTGTCCGACAAATCTAGAATTCTTAGACTTTGCAAACGCAAAATTTGCCGATCAAATGACTTTCTGCTCAGTCCACTTAAAATTAGTTGCTCTGTAGTTCTTGGGAAACCCTGTAAGGTTGGATACTCAGACTTTTTCTTTACTACAACTTTGACTTTTCCCATGGAGAATTGACTCGAGTTGAAAGACACATTAGGCATAACTGTGTACTGGTTTACGAGAACGTCATGCTGAGAATGTCTATTTATTATTTGATTCAATATATGAAGAAAACTTTTCAATTGAATTGAATCACTCTGAATTATCAGATCGTGACAAGGTTGTATCAGTCTTATTGTAACTTTGCCATCGGCGATAAACTTTGTGAACACTTGTTTTACATTATTAACAATCTAAAAATAAAAAGAAAGATGATTATCAGATATATTCTTCAAAAATAAAATGAAATAAAAATATGGAATTTAGATTCTGCTGAAAGTATGAAAACTATTAAAATGATATAAGAGTTAATTAAAGTCTAAAAAAATCTACAATGAGCTTAAGGGCTATACATTTTCTGTAACCATTAGACATATCGTAAGAATTAATCAATCAGAACTCAAAATTTGTGATAATTTTTTAATGTGGTTGGCTAATTCTTATGATACATCTTTTACAGATTACTGTTATAAAAAGTGTTTATAGAGCCAGAAGCACATAGAAAAACTAAGGTGGTAAAACTTGAGCAATAAACGAATTGGTCAATCACAATAGAGTACATAAGGTAATAAACCTTAGGTTCTCTACTGTAATTAGCCGAATCGTTCACTGCTTATGTTTTATTTATGTTTTTTAGCTTAAAGTTTATTCTACAGTAGTCACAAGCACAGTTATAATTGTAAATGTAAGAATTGAATCAATCATGTCAAATATGAGGAGAATATTTGACTGATTTGTCAATTCTTACAAGTACAATCATGACTATGTTTACAATCATGGCTACTACAGAACAGGCATGAGAATTAACTAGTTATAATTAAATATGAGGAGAATATTCGACTGATCAATTTTTATAACTACAACCATTTATAACTATGCTTACTCAATTGTAAAATGAGATTAAAGCCTGGAATATAGACCTTTGTATAATGCATAATTTATAAGCATGAGAGAATTAACTAATTAATCTTTTATTTTATAGAAAAAAAGAAAATGAAGAACTTTAATTGATTAATTTTTTTATGTATTGAATTCTTATGTACTAAAGAATCATCGAGTGCTCACTGATTGAACACAGCTATTACTTCTATTATAGACAGTCTATAAAATCTATTTTATAATGCATAGGTGTAAGAGTTAATCTATCATAATCGAATATAAAAATATTCGACTGTGTTTGATCAATATTTACAACTATCAACTACGACTATGATTATGCAATTGTAGAATGAATTTGCTGAAAAACAGACGATTAGATTCTAGTATTATTGTTAACTACCTGATATTTGATGCCTTGCTTGTTCTGTCGTGTTTGCAGATACAGGTATACGTCGTCGTCTTTGACGGATTTCTTAGTGAATGCCAAGATCGACTGTGATCTTCTCTGCGAGCAGACAGATAATATTCTATCGTGGATCTCGATATAGCAGTGAAACTTCATAATCGTTCACTATTCCACCAGTAAATCGTCGAGTCTGAGACAACGTCAAATGTAATAAGCAGTAATGAAAAAAAATTAAGGTAATTCTTCAGAATAGCTATCTCACTTCCGATTTTTAATGAAATTAGGCTCATTCGACGCGTTTTTGCATAAAATGAAAGAATCTGGTAGAAAAAAGTCCGGAACTGTCCTACAAACCGAGATACTGAATGTTAAAGTTGACAACTATTGAGGCTAAGTCAATAGTTGCAATTTTGATGAAATTAGGCTCATTCGATGCGTTTTTGCGTAAAATGAAAGAATGTGCCAGAAACAAGTCCAGGACTGCGGAGCAAGATATTGAGTGCTAAAGTGTTACTATGTAACATGATCATTAATCTGTTATATAGACAGTAGGTATATAGATTAATGTTTATCGGTTCGCCCTAAACAAAAGAAAATTAACATATCCTATTCGCTTGAGATCTAACCTAGAAGTTGCAGTGTAAATAGTGTCCGCTTGGGATATTTCTAACCTGTGAGAATAGTATTTTTAGAGCGGTTTTTTTGCTGTCTAGATTGCAATTTCTAGACAGTTAGGTCCCAAACGGGTAGAACATGTTATTTTTCTTGTTCGGGGCGACGTAACCGCCGCGAATCAATAAACACTACTGTCTATACACTCCACATAATAGATTTCCTAACCTCCAATAGTTATCAACTTTAATGCTCAATATCTCGTTCGTAGGGCAATGCCGGACTTTTTTCTGTCAGATTCTTTCATTTTACGCAAAAAACGCGTCGAATGAGTCTAATTTCATCGAAATCAGAGGTAACTATTCTGAAGAATTACCAAAATTAAAGTAACTTCTAAAACGCCGCAATAACAAGTGTTATACAGGTTATATATAACCTGTGCTATAACCAATTAAATATTTTTCTCTGTTCTTCTCTTAAGACTTTTTCTTCTTAAAGGTTCCTATTTTGATTTCCGACTCTGATTCACTAAAAGGCGATAAAATGGTCCACTAAATCCGGTATTCCGGTGTATGGCTCTTCATGGAGCAAAGACCACATGCATAAACAATAAGTCTGTCGCGTTATTCGAAATCCCCCCCCCCCCAATTTTTGAACTTAAAATGAGATAGATATATATTTGAGTTGAAAGGAGAAAAAGCGAAGATGATGAATACAAAAAGTACAAGTAACACGAACAAACCAGGCAAACTATTTCCTAGAAGTTTGGTAACTTTTATCTAGTTCCAAGTCAAGTTGGCAACAGGAGATCGCTAGTGAGTGATACATCAATAGAGCGAAACCTGAAAGTGATTATCTCGATCTTTTTCGTGTATCAAACCTCTTAGGCCGGGTTCACACCCTGACGGAAAACCAATCAGAACTCACAGTAGTAGTCGGTACATTTTGCTTCTGTTAGTCACTGCGCAATTTTGTGTGCAATAGCTCTAAACGTTCTCAAAAATTGTTGGATTTACACTGGATCCGACGTGCGTCGTATGACGCTCTGCAACCAATCAGAAAACAGAATTTTATTTCGTAATCGATCCAGTGTAAATCCAGCATTAGGATAATGTCGACGTTTTCTGTCGTGATTCTCTTCCATACTATTACGTGAGTTGGACAAAGATGAACATTCAAAGTTAATTATTCGTCCTTGTCTAATCCATGTAATAGTGTGGAAGAAAACTACAAAAACATGGACATTACTCTACGGAAAAGGCAGTGATATCCACCTTCAGATTTCTCTCTGATGATAATAAGTGTCATGAATTCTTCGATATCGGGGATATCGATACAGTATCGCTCATCACGAAATCGCACCCTCGCGACTCGTCATAGTGGAAGAACAGCCAGTGATTTCAGTTGTCGCGGTTATCGTCACTGATTTTTCGACGTATTGGTAGGCGGAATTGGGCGGAATGTGTATCTGTTCGCGCGAGAAAGTTGAGATAGACGGAGTGATTCGGAGGCAATTCGGAGTCGAGCCTGTCGAGCATACCCGAACGGCCTCAGTCCTACAGGAATTCTCTCTTTCGTGATCTCTGATATGTGATATACGACGGTAAGGTACCGTCTATTTCTGGCAGGATGTTATGAGCAGTTGTGATTGTGAATCGCGGACACAGTCGCAGACCTTCTCTCGAGATCACACTTGGTATGGTGCTGTCACAATTGGCGATTTTTTGAGCCCCGGCACGAAAAGGTCACGGGTCTTCGTCGTTGAAAAATCTTGATCGCTATCGTCGTGCTTTCTTACTCTTCCCGACGGATATCGCTTGAACAATTTCTGGTCCGTTTCGCGAATTATGCTGTCGCTCGTGATGATAGATTACGTGTCTAAGCGGTGGATCCTGTTTCTTCTGTTTGTACTAAGTCAAACAAGTCATGGCCACGACGAAGATGCACATACTCTTCGGTATACCCACGATAACTTTTCCATTGAAGTTGGCAAGAAAAATCACTTCGTCATGTTCTATGCACCATGGTAAAGAAATACATGTATTCTGATTATATAGTCGTGCTATAAATTGTTTCTTAAAGAATTGATTTATTTTATAATTAAAATAAAAGACAATGTGCAATTTATACTTGTTTTGGTAATTGTTGAGCTATCTTATGTCTGATATTGATAAAAAGTAGGTCCATTCGACGCATTTTTGCATGAAATCAATGAATCTAGCAAAAAAAGTTTCTAGCAAAAAAGTTGTACAAACCGAGAAATTGAGGGCTGTCTGTAATGGTAGTAGTAAGATGTAGTAAATTGTAAGCTGTAACAATCAACCAATCATCGAATGGGAGATCAATTGACTGATGATTGGTTAGATTTTTAGGCTTGATCTACAATATGCGGAGTAAATTTGGTATAAAAAGTAAAAATAAGAAATTGATCAATCACAGTCGAATATGAAAAGAATACTCAACTGTGATTGGTTAATTTTTTACTTTATTTCTCACATCAAATTTGTGAATTAGAAAGCCCCTAGACACTTGTCCGCTGTGATTGGTGATCGTCGATTCGAAAAAAAGTAACGAAAAGTTACTTTTAAAAATCGATAATTAGTAACAATAACTTGTTAAAAAGTAACAAGTTACAGTTACTAGTTATCGATTTTTAAAAGTAACTTTTTCGATACTTTTTTTAAAATCGTCGACCACCAATCACAGCGGACGGATGCCTAGAGGCTTTCTAATCTCAAACGCTATGAATGGCTTGTGTCCAATTGAACCATGTCCAATCGTGTGCAAAGTAATTGTAAAATTCATTACCATTACAAAAAAGAATGTAATTATATTATCGTTCGAATTACCGAAAAAAAGGTAATGCAATTACCAGTAAAATTATCAAAAAAGTAACTTCTTAACAAATTAAGGCCATTATACATAAAATTACATTAGCTCCATAATCATCTTAAGGCTGCTGAACCAATAAGCATCTAATATAAAGACACCATATTGATTTACATAAGATGCTCATTAGTCTAGGGACCTTATGTTATGTTTATGTAATTTTTTTTAGTCTATATAATTTTGTGTGTGATATGATCCTTATTTCCACTCTCTGATTTTAATGTATTATTTAATATGTTATTAAAATTTTAATACATCTGTATTACACGTAATTAAATGTAAAACGTGTAGCAGCATAAAAAGGGGATTTCAGGTCCCGCACGTAATTGATTGCCACAGAAAGCAAAACAAACTCAAATGAAAGGATATTTTATATGTACAAAGTTTCATCCCACAAAAGCCACCATTTCGAGATATCGAAAAAATGTGATTTTTCCTTGGTATCTTTTTTCTCTGCTCTAAACGGATGTTTACAAAAATTAAAAAAAAAGGATATAGAGATCCAAAAAAGGATATAAATATAGAGTATCAAAAAGATTAGAGTAAGAATTTTTTTGTTATTCTTGATTCCAAATTCTGTTTTTAAAAAATTCAAGAATTTAAAAATCGCATTTTTTATATGATCTGAAAAACCATTTCTAAAATAATTCAGCAGCTAAATCTTATCATATTGGGTTACGGGAAAGTTCAATCATTTTTTTTTATTTCAAAATTGTATATACAATATCTTCGTTAAAAATGAATGAAATTCAAATTTAAAAAAGATTTTTAAAAAGGGTTTTAAAGCTTGAAATCTCTATTTTCAAAAGGTTTTTATATTTTTTGAGTTTCTGCGAGTTTCGTAATTTTTACATATAAAAAACTACGAACTGAAAAGATGAAAAATTTTCTTTTCACTTTGGGGGTTTTTCACGTGTCCAAAAAAAATTTACGAAAATTTTTTAGTACTTCTCGTGAAAGCTTGAAGCTCTCCCTACAAAATTATTTTTTAAAAATGTTCCTATGATTTTTTGTTTTTGAATTATTCGAGTTAAGTAAAGCAGCATTCTGACTTTGATTACTCATAACTCTGATAAAAATTATCATACCGCAATTAAAAAAAAACAGATTCTTAAAGATAAAACTTTGCTTTAGCAAATGATATAATTGTAACGAAAATTTCGGAACAAATGAAAATTTTGTATAAAAATATAAAGAAACTTTCTCCCCCACCCAATATATTCAATATTTTTTCAGATTTTTAAATTCATTTGGTGAACCACATGTTGAAAAAAAATTTGTTTCCAATCATTTCCTAACTTTGAAACTTTTCTTACATTAATATGACTTTAAAAGACTTCAGGTTTTTGATTTACAAGGCTATTTAACCCAAAATGGAAGATATAACTTTAATCAGAATCTCGAGATCTAAAATTGGAGTGCTAACTTTACATGTCCATTGTAATTAATCAATTCAATAAAACAAACTGTGTTTCATGCTGTTTTTTATTTTAATTAAGAAATAAATCTATTTTTCTTAGAAATAGAACTTAGCACGAATATTATTTTTTACGTTAATTGAACATAATAAAATTCAGTTGGGAATGTTCTGTATAAGGTGTGGACATTGTCAAAGACTTAGCCCCACGTGGGAGCAATTGGCAGAGATCTCGAATGAGGAGGACAGTAATATAAGAATCGCCAAAGTGGATTGCACAACCGAGAGCATTTTGTGCAGCGAGCAAGATGTTACTGGTTATCCTACGTAATACATTTTTGCCATCTAATTTAACTTTTGTCCGAAACAGATTTTTTGAAAATTGATTTTTAATTTATGTGCGCCATAATTATATCTGATAATATCTTTATGCATGCGATGTTATACAGATTTATTTGTAAATTATTTTGAAATGTATGACAATTATATATAACGTTTTGATGTCTTTTGACATAGATTGAAATTTTACAAGACTGGAGAAACTAAAGGTGTCAAGTTCCGAGGTACTCGTGATTTACCTACATTGACTTCTTTTATTAATGATCAGCTAGGTAGTTCAATGGTGTGTGTATTTTATACTGAATTTTATGCTGTTGCATTGAATTGTTAGTCACAGTTTATATGTTCCAGGTTGAAGATGTCATGCCAACTCCTCCGGAAGCAGTGAATGGATTACTAGAATTAACGGAAGATACGTTTGAAAAACACGTATCTTCTGGACATCATTTTGTTAAGTTTTACGCGCCCTGGTGTGGACATTGCCAGAAATTAGCTCCAACTTGGGATGAATTAGCCAATAGTCTTCGCAACGACGACGTAGTCAGTATTTCTAAGATAGATTGTACACAGCATCGTAGTATCTGCGGCCAATTTGACATTAAAGGATATCCTACGCTGCTGTGGATTGAAGATGGAAAAAAGGTATTGAATTATCGATTTTTTTTCCCATAAAGAATATTTATTTGCAAGGTGTTTACTATCTGAAAAAAATCTGAAAAACCTAAAATTTTGAGGAGATTTTTTAAAATGAAAATCATGAATTTTTATGAAAATCTTTGAAATTTTATTTTTATATTCTGTCTCTTTCTGAAAACATAGTTTTTTTCCTGATAATGTAAAATGTCGACAATCGGTAATAATAATAATAATAATAATAATAATAATAATAATAATAATAATAATGATAATAATGATAATAATAATAATAATAATAATAGTTTTATTGAATGCTATGACTTATAATTAATTGAAAGCAACAGGTATATTATATGATAATACTAAAAGCACATGAAAGAATTACAATAGAAAGATGACCTATTCCGACGAATGAGTTGAAAGTATATAGGGAGATCTGTTAGCCAATCAAATTTTGAGCTCATTTGCAGAAATTTACATGACTCGTTGACGCTGAAAATGAGCTCAATTTCTGATTGGGGGGTCCTCCGCTATTATGTGCAATGAGTCACCTTTCTAATTGCACCATGTTAAAAGTATACAATAGACATGAGTGCAACTGAGAGTTAATTTGATGCCTAATTTAATTAGAAAGTGGATATGTATGACATATATTTACATATATTCTCGCTAGTTTTTATTTAAAAAAATCAGGATAATAGTAGAAGACAATATATAATAGAAATTCATTAATATTAATAATTGTAGTGACCCATTTTTATACTATCCTATAGGTGTCATGACTGTAATTGTAGAGAAGATAAATGTAGAAAATATCGCGTTTACTTTCAATGTTTATCAAAATACATTCAATCGATGCATTTTTATGTAAAAGTAAAAATTTAATAAGGAAAAAATCTCGTGAAGCAAGATATTACTAATAGCAGTTTGTTATTACTGAGATTATAAAATCTATCGTATCGATATGCATGTGCGAATTGTGCAGTGCGCATGTATTGTAATTACGTGTGCATGCAATGGCTAGCCATATGCGCATGGATTTTATATATATTAAATCTTTAAAAATAAATGAGCAGGGCTGGGCATGTATTTGAATTAATTTGAAATATTTTTATTTGATTTCATGACCCTCGCGATTTTCACGTGCTTCCTATATACAGAGCAACTTCTATGTATTATGTGAGCTTCCACAATTAATACATATTTTTAATCTTTGACTATTGGCATTGTGCCTTTTTCGAAGAATGGTGAGCATCGCGCAATTCAGGCAAGCTTCTAGTTTCTCATAGAACTTATTAATGTGCTCTATATAGCCACATTTGAAGCAGAGCCGAACAGTACCTACATACAGTTTAACTAGGTTTTTTCGATGATAATCGTATCTGGACTCGCCTTTTATCTTGATGCAGACTGCTCGAGTCTTCGATTTGGCCGATTTTCGATACTTAAGTATGAATAAATTCGTGATTATAAGATTAGATTTCTTCATGTCAATTGTTTCCTTCAGTTTTTACCTCAGAGAGGCATGTTTTCCGAATCTCTGATTATCGCCTTTCTATTGATTTTGAACTTGGAGACAAAAGCTACAATATCTGTCGCTTACAGCTATTATATTAGACAAAGCATTGTTCGCTAGAATTTTTCAACTAAACGTGACCTTCCAGGTATCTCTCGAATATTTGTATATTTAGCTAAATTTTATATTATAGGAACTAATCTTTTCGAGATACTAATAAGAGGGAATCACTTGCTCCTCATTTGTTTATTTGATATGACTCGAAAATGAACAATGTATAGATCTTTCGAGAAAGCATCGTGTTTAAATCTTCTTTTTTTTGAGAGCTTCGAGACTACCCATCATCAGGGTTTTGGGATCCGATATCCTGTGATCATCTTTCTTAGAGCTTGTAGATAGTATAAGAAAGTGAGGGAATCTACTTGAGGATCTCTTAGTTAGGTTTAGATGAGTTCATCATCTGTGAATTATCATTGCAGCTACTATCCAATAGTTACATTTACATGGCTCTATTTATAACATTGAAGTTACGAAACTGACCAACATAGCTATTTTTTCGAAGAATGGAATGACTGTGATTGATCAATTTCATAATGTCAATGTTATAAATTACTGACGTTAGATATCGTGTAAATACTATATTTTACAATGAAATTATTACATCGAATAATAATTTAAAATCGTTTAGTGAAGAGGCTTAGGGCTATCACACACAAAATGACATAAATTGACTTTTCACATTCTTTCATTCTTTCAGCTCGGGAATAAAATAAGTCTGACCGTGTAAACACGACTTACTTATGTAGGAATTATAACATCAACGTTATTAAGTCGAAGTTAAGAAGCCGTATACATATAAATGTATTAAATGTTATAGGAACACTCCACCTAATTACACTGGAAAAGGAAACTCATTTTTACTCCTCATGATACACTACTGGTAGTGGAATCTTGTAGTTTACATTATATAATGTAAATAAACATAAATTTTCAGTATTATATGTTAGGATAATAGTATATTTTAATTTCTCTTAATTTATTACTTTGCAGAAAGCTGGTATTGTACGCAATAAGCTTTTGTGTAAATGTTTGACACTTGATGTTCCTATGTAATGGCATCTTTAGATTTCTCTTTGATTTATAATACTTTTTTGCAAGAGACAATGTAATATAGCGATCACTCCAGCAAATGAGAATGGATTAAAATGGATTGAAATTTTTTTCTAACTGCATTTCTAATTGCATTTCCTATTTAAAATTTTGAATTAAGCAGCATTCACAATTGTGTTGTTGTGCACAGAAAAAGTTAATATTATTTTTAGATTGAAAGGTATAGAGATATGCTTCATGCAATTTCTATAAATGAAAATGCATTCAAGATTGAAAAGCATTCTAACATTCGTGAATATTTCTGAAAATCTGAATCCATTTCAATTCATTTCAATCCATTCTCGTTGGGACTTCATCTTTATTTAACATTAAACGACAAAGTAATAATCCGCTGTGTTACATTATGTCATCTGTATCTCTTCCCCCACGAAAAAAACTACTAAGCACTACTATACTACTACACTATTGCACTGTTAATATACACTAAATAGTAATTCAACCATTATTGCACTACTACACTGATACACTATTGCAGTAGTTTCTTTTTGTGAGGAAATATTCATAAAAAAAATTAACTTATAAATTTTATTTTTTTTTAACTGAAATTATTTCATATAAGATGTTTACAGTGTATAATTTTAGCTGAAGTATAAGTTTATAAGTCTTTTTTTTTGTCGACTCTTAAAAAATTCTTTAATTTTACCTAGAATTTTTAATAGAAATATTTAGAAAATCCAGAAATTCTTACGGAATTCTTTACATTATTTCAGTAAACATTAGGTCTGTTCTTGTTGTTTGAAATTCTCAAAAATTGTTGCACTTGAAATGAGATAAATGTATATATGTTCAGATGTTAAAAAGAGAAAAAACGAAGATGTAAAAAGTGCAAGTAACGCAAACAAATCTATTCTCTTTTATATAAAAGAACTTTTGATGGAATATTTAATATATATATAAATATAAATCTCTAGGTGGATAAATATACTGGCCAGCGTACTCACGAAGAGTTGAAAGCTTATGTGTCAATGATGCTGGGTAAGAATGCAGAGAACGAGTCAAATCGAAAGCTTGAGAGTACAGACGGAATTCCGAATGCTATATTGAGTTTGACAGCTGATAGTTTCAAGCAAGGTATCGAAAAGGGTCTTTCATTCGTCAAGTTCTTCGCACCTTGGTGCGGACATTGCAAACGTCTGGCTCCCACATGGGAAGAACTAGGTAAGAAGTTCTTCGGCAATGACAATGTGAATATTATCAAAGTCGATTGTACACTCGACATAAGTAAACAATTGTGCAATGAACAGGAGGTAGATGGTTTTCCAACTTTGTACTTATATCGTAATGGACGCAAAGTTTCAGAATACAATGGCTCGCGTAATCTCGACGATCTGTACGACTTCGTAATGAATCATATGAAAACGCATGACGAATTGTAATTTTGTTTGTGATTAAAATGCCGAGATGTGTGTGTGTGTGTGTGTGTGTGTGTGTATGTGTATGTGTGTGTGTGTGTGTCGTAATGTATTTCCAATAATACTTCGAATAATTTAATTAAAGATGACGTTTCGATTTTTTATTGCCAAATGGAAATAGAAAAAGCAGGAATTTTTTTCATTTTTATATCGAGAGATAAAGAAACGATACGTTAGTATATAGAATGTAACATATTCAAATGTAATCCCGTATAAAAAAAATGTGCTTTCAAAATATTCTATTTATTGTCTTTTCTCATTTAATTTGCATTTATACATATAATTTTTTTTTATTTATTCCTTATACTATTATGTTATTTATTCCGTATATCTTGATAGTGAGGCTATAAAATTTTATTAAAAAATTTTTATAAAAGATAAAATAATGAATGTTGATCTTGTTCTTCATATACCCAATATAAATATTAATTGATTTCATCAGAAACAAGTTGATCCTATTATAGTTTTTAACATATGCTTATATTAATATGCGCAGCATAAGTGATATTTTTTTTTTAAATATCTGAAGATTTCTGATGACTAATTAACGGATATACGATATATATGTTTGTATGTATATATACACACAATGCCAGAATTAAAATTGTTTCAGTAGAATCCTTCAATTGTATTCTGTATGATATAAGCTCTTGGGAATTGTAACAATATCAAATTGACCAAATGCAATTTTTATTATTGTAATTTGATTACATTGACAACCGTAATTGTTTCAATACATAGCAGTTATAAATCCTCCCAACAAATCGCAACCGTGTAACTTAGATATAATGTTACACAAGTGTCAGAAATGGTACATGTAATATTAATTTGTAATGATAAATATAATGTACTAGTATGATTCTATGTCAACAACTTTGAATATAATATTTGTATATCGGAAATATATCAATAATATATTACCGTAATGTAATACATAAACGTCCTTTATATATATTTTATATGTAAAAAAGACGTTTATATGTAAAAAAGACAACAGTGTTGTTAACTTTGATGGACTACATTTTCTTATTTTCAGCGTTAAAGTAGGTACAATAGTGATAAAAATTGATGCTATGATAACATTTAATTTTGAATCGATTGTGAGCAATTTGCAGAGCTGTATTCGGGGAGACATTAGAGCTATTTGAGTCATTCCATCTATATTGTTTATTAGATGTAAAACAAGGATAGGATGACACTAAAAACGCTAATAGCATTTCGCTGAATGTACCCCTGACGACTGGAAGTTGAATAAATTCAATTACATATATGTAGTATGTATTTTATATGTATGTATAAAAGTCATATAACATTCGTTAAATTGCTAAAAGATTAGTTGTGGTATTTATGTTAGGTATTTTAAATTACATTAGATTACATTTTTAAATAATTGTTATGATTATGCAACAAAGAAATATAGCTTTGTTCTTTTTAAAAACCCTAAAAATTATGTGACAATTACGTATTGTCTTCATAATCATAAATTACATATCGTCTCTATACTTTGCCGGTTTGATTCTTGAATCTATTGTCAATTGACTCTAAATAAATCGCATGGGAAATATATCAGGTTTCGAATGTTTCAATTTTGCTTTTTTAGTAATCTAATATACATTTGAATATGGCCGCATCTGGTATGATCTGATATCTGCGGCGCAGATTCTACACAGAGTTGTACGAAAATCTCAAGAATGAGCTGAATGAGCAGTATTTGGCTGCACTTGGTTTTTTCCAACATGGACGCGACCTTTTACTAATATTTATCTTTTCTGTATCTTTCATTATTTTTTATTATTATAACAAGCCATTGTGAGTCAGCCTCGTGTAGAAACATAATGGTAAACATTTTTATTAATCCTTCACACCGGAGTCAAAATGACCCTAGAGCGTATTTAACCTATTATCATATTCATAGTTATCGTTTTGAAGACAAAAAAAATTTATGTTAAGTGCGCTCCGAGGTCATTCTGATCCCTATGTGATTATTACAACATTAGTTCAACTTTTAAAGAGATATGATTATGAAAGGTTAAAATAAAATGAGTATAGCGCCTTAATTTCGTTAATTGTTATAATGAACTGCCTTTAATCGAAAAAATATTTATCGCATTAAATTGCGATGTACAAATTTATGCATAAACAGTGTTGATACTGAAAGATATAAACGGCTTATCGTATCCGTACAGTCATCTTGCAATAAAATAATATTTACTTTTCTCACTTTTCTTTGCGTGGAACTTAACAAAGTTTACAGTAAGACACGCTGAAATTCTCGCTATCGATGATGCGGTACTGATAATTTTTGTAGGTGGTGAAGTCTACTTTGCGCATTTGCAAAACGTGATCCATAATCTTCTTGACCACTGGTAGAAAGTCTGTCACATTCGCAGTGGTTGCAAGGTGATCGTAGTAAGCCCATTGCCTGTCTTTTAACTTGTTAATGTGTCTCAGCTAGAAACAAAGAAAAAAAATTATTAGGTGTTGGAATTAATTCGTAGCGTTTTACAAGTGATGGGAAGTACTTTCATTAATGTATTTTTTAATGCTCATGTGAAATAAATAACATTCTTTCATTAAAAAACGCTACGAATTAATTCCAACACCTAATATAATTCAACATGATCTTTTATTTAGAATGAAATTCTAGATAATCAAAAAAGCACAACCACTGTTAAGAGTTCTGATTAGCCATCGCAGTGGCCAATTATGAGATTGATTCTTTGGTATGTATATAATAATAATTACACATAATAAAAATCATTTTTATTTTAGATTAGACATAATTGTAATTCATTAAATTATTATTATATCAACAAAGATATAAAAATTCTGAATTATTGTTGTGTCTCGATTACTTTGCTTTGAAAAAAAATCATAATTTTTTTAGTCGATTATTTTTTAAGAATTTAATTTTATGCAAAATTTCTTTTATGTTATTAAATGGTAAAACGATTTGCCATATTCGTGTCTGTCTGATAATCTAGGATATTAATCTGGTAAAAAATTTATATCATAATATTTTTAATATTTTAATTTTCTCTTTATAAAGTTTAAATTTATAAAGATTTTTCTGAAAAATATCTCAAAAATTTCTTCAGATTTAATAATAAGTTTTCTTGGAAATTATAAAATGAGAAATTTGTCAATATTTCATAACTCAGATATAAAGAATTCTAGAATACTTTTTCAATATTTTTGAAAAATGTTCCAATTTATACAAAAAGTTGAGAAATTTTCTAAAAAGTTATAAAACTATATAGGAATTGTGAAAAAATTTAAAATTTATATGAAAATTCTGAAAAATTATATGAAGAATTCTAAGAAAATTATTTACCAAGATTGTGATAATTGTTATATCAAAATATGTTTCGTCTTTCCCTGAAAGAATCGTCATTTATATCAATCAACGACATATACAGGGTATCCCTTCATGCAGTGTCAAAACTACAGCGGTTTCAGCACATGAAAACAAGTTCAAAATGTCTAATAAACATACGTCCGATTCCGAACGATTTCGGAATTTTTTCTCGACGAAATTGTTAGATAATATTTTCGAAAAAACTACTGTTTTTATGCAATAAAAACTTATTGATGAATAAATAAAAGTGTGAATACAGTAGAACCCGAATTATTATGGTAGAGGACTTTTTGATTTAGTTTAGTTCGCTCTATTTATCTATAAACAGTGATACACCTATGTAATTGAAGTTTGGAGCGTTCATGGAGCGAAGATTAAAAGTAAACCCAAACCACACAGACAGACAATTGACGATCTCTTGTATGTATACGTATAATCGAAAAAAAATTTCCTACACTTGTTTCTGATTGAAATTAAAATAGGATAATGTCCGAGATTGACGATAAAAAAAAATGTACATCTAATGTCAGACACCATATACGTCGTTGATGCCGATCTATCATTGTCTCTTAAAATATAAGCTTTTCCTGCAAATTTGTAAAAATTAATCATGAATCACATACCGGAATACCTTGGTCCAACAGTGACTTTTTCTCGATTTCGTATTCTTCGCGCATTTGTTGCGCGGACGGTAACTTAATACGATCTTCGAGGATCCCGAGGATGTACTGTGCTTGGATATGGAACATTGGAAATGGTATCACCAACGCGGGCAAGCCCATGAAAAACAGATTTGTATAATCCATATGTACTAGATGCTTGTAGATGGGTTCCACATGGTCGTCATCTGTACGTATCTCGACTTTAGCCGACATAAAGGGATACGTGAATTTGTAACCTGAGAAGAAATTATGAAATTTATCATAAACCATGAAGAAAGTTTAACTGATATGCCCCAGTGCAGTGATTACCAGTGCAGAATATGAAATCGTCCACTTCCTCTGTTGAACTGTCGCGAAAGGTGAAGATGTTTCCCTGGATGGACTCGACACCAGGTTTTTGCTCGAGATTGTCCGATATTTTCGAGTTGAGTTGTTCCGGCAGATTATGACTCAGATATACCTGAAATTATCAAGAGAACTAAAGGATTAATAAAAAAAATTGTGTCGTTGATGATTAGGATCATGATGTAAATACATCATGACTAGGATTACTATGCCATTGCTACGCGACGATTTTTTTTACAATTAGCATTTTACGATTTATGTGGTCGCAGATTATATATCTCAACAAAGATTCGGAAAAGATTTCGCATAAACTTTACGGGAACTGAATTTTGGATAAAATTTTAATATATTTTATATAAGGGCCGTGGTTTATGTGAGGATACTAACTGAAAATTTAACTCAAATTTTCGAAGGGTTTGTCAGAGTTCCTTTGATACTAATGATATTTTCGGGACATTATCAGAAAGATGAAAGTATAACTTTAAATTTATCAAAAATGATAATTAATAGTACAGAGATTTATGTGCCAGCGTACTTTATCAGCATATTGCGAGACTTCCATGGCGATATCAATGCCAGACCAGGACGCGCCGAGTATGCAAACCTTCTTGCCGGTATAGACCTCTGGCACTCTGTACTGATGGCTGTGAACACATCTACCACGAAAGCTTTCGATACCTGGAATATGCGGAATACGACCGACAGTGTAATGCCCATTGCACAGCACCACGGCGTCGAAAATCTTTGTGATTTCTGTTTTGGTCTCCAATGACTCGTATGTCACCATCCATAATGTCCGGCCGTTAATAGTTTCTGGCTCTACACGCTTCACTAGGGTATTCAACTAAAAACAAACGTGATCCAAAATAAAAACATGATAAAACGAAGAAGTATCAATAATTTTAACATATGCATATATTCATTCGCAAGAAGAAAACAATACTTTATAAAAATAACACGTTACTGTTACCTTTTTTTTTTATAAATTCGTTATTTATTACTAATTTTAAAAAGTAACGTGTTGTTATTACTGTTACTTAGAAAGAAACGATTTGTTAATTTTTTAATTATTTTTTTGTAATGATTAAGATAAAATATTAATTGTAACAATCAGTATTAAGATTTAAATCATAAAAGATTAAAGATTATAAAGATTATAATCTTAGTTCTTACATAGCAAGCATTTTCTTTATTTAATAAACCTTCTATAATTCTTTATATTAATATTTTTAATTTTTAATATATATTGGATGTTCTCTAATTATTGACAAATTTATTTACAAATTTCCAATACATTAATTAAGATCTTAAAATGATGCCAATTGAGTATCAAATCATTAAATCGCTAATTAATTTAATTTGTGATATTATTACTGGTAGTTCAATTGCGTTTCTAGGTCCGGAAAATTAATTTGGCGCGTAATTTGGCGAGAGACTACAAACGTGGTATATAAATTCACACGAAATTATTTAAAACACTCAAGATCCAGCTTCGATCAATACAAATGTAGTTAAAGCATAATCGCCTAAAGTTCGCGCGTTTAGTTAAGGTTGATTTTGTTCCATATATAACTCAAAATATTAATTATACTTAAACACGAAATTTGGACAATATGATTTGCTAACTTTAAATGCTTATAATTAAAAACCTAGTAAACCTTGACCTTTTGGTATTAGATCTTTGTCTCAAAATAATTTCAGAAATTTTCCAGCAAATGGTATGGTAGATTTAAGATGCCCAGCATAATATGTTCAATTTTTTATTCAAAGAATCTTAAATCTCATTAGATATGCATAGATACAGTTTTAAAAATGTTAAAATTACCGACTTTCATCTTGTCATTAAAAATTAATTAAATATTTTATTTATGTACTAATAGATAAAAATATATTTCTAATCCTTCAGCTATGGCGGCTCATTCATGTAACTGTTGAGGTAGTATTTTTGTAGTAGGCTATTATTTAGATGTAGTTATGGTCAGCCGATTTTTTTGATTGATTTTTTGATGCCCGATTCAAAATTTGTTGTTTCTGTTCCCCTATAGGGAATAAATATTTAAATAATATGTCGAGTCGCTCAGATTCTGATAATAATGAATGAATTTACAAACGCTGTATTATACAATATATAATAAACGAAAAGCAGTGCATAATAGACCTCTAAACTTATATTGAAGTTTACTTTAAGATTTATCTTTTAAAACTTTAATGTGACTCTAGATGGAAACTCTGTGATGGTGTAGAGGATCATCGTTTTAACATCCTTACAAACTGCACAGTGTATGCAGATGCATGCATATCTGACGAAACTTCAGATTTTTAAAATAAGAAATTTATTATATTTTCTAATTTTTAGATTTAAGCAATTTTGAAAGTATTTTATTTTTTAGCATTTCTTTGGTTTTCAATGAAAAAAAGATTATCAAATTATACAAGTAATTAAATAATTAGAATAAAATCATTATTATAACCGAATTATTATTATAAAAGTGAATTATGTTATTCCCTTTAAGGCGAATTTTGACTATTTTTCTATGCCATCATATTTAGCCTAAAAAACGTAAGATTACATATATAACTTACATTACATTTCTTAGGCAAAAATCGGCCCACTATCCTTTGTCACTGGCGTACTGCCGGCTATGCAAGGCATCCTTTAATGGTTAAAACAAAAATAAAAGTCGAAAGCAGTAAGGGATAGTACCTATAGACTGGATGTTGGAAAAATTCAAATTTCGGTTGTCAAAGATCCATATTCAGAAGTGTTTATAACGATGTTGACGAATCGAGATGTTCTGCAGAGTATATTATTATATATTTTATATATATTTATATGTAACGTAGATTATATCATATTAAGTAAGAATGATTAAGAATTTTACAGTTTAGAAGATATTTTATTTTTTATTTCAAAATATGCGAAAATAAAAATTGAAATATCTCTTAAACTCTATTATTTCTTAAGTAATTTTATTTTAATACTTATGTGTATACGCAGAATAACTAGAAGAATTATCAACAAGATAATACCTATAACGAAGATTATAAGTCGAAGCTGAAGCTTAATCCCCATAGCAAAAAACTTCACAGTTATAACACAATAATCATGATTATGTCATGGTGACGTTCGCTTTCATCACAAATATGTCACAACGATGCCATGATGATATGCGAATGCTTTGTAACATGTGTTATTTTGTTATGACAATCTCACAATGACATCATATTTTCATGTGAATTTATACGCCACGTATATAGTCATTTGAACTGCGCGCTGAATTGATTTTTCCGACTTAGAAACGCAATTAATCACTGTAGTAATATCACAAACTAATTGATAAGTAATTAAAAAATTTGATACTTGATTGGCATCATTTTGAGAATATTTCGATGTACTGAAAATCTGTAAATAAATTTATTGCGAAAAATATTACCTCGGTTGGAAGTCGGACTCGGATCTCCAGCATTTCGTGCGAGCATCCTAAGCTTTTAAACCACCGAAAATAATTAGTAATATTCTTCACAATAACCGATATGTAGGAACATTTTTCAAGTAGTGTGTGTAAATGATTTATTAAGACCATATATGTGAATACACAACAAGTGAGAGATAATGCTCATCGAAGCTGGATTCAACTCCCGACCGAGGTAATATTTTTTGCAATAAATTTATTTATACATTTTCAGTACATTAAGATCTTCTTAAAATGATGCCAATCGATTAAATTTTAAATTGCTTGTCGATTTAATTTGTGATATTATTACAGTGGTCCAATTGCGTTTTCAAGTCTGAAAAATCAATTCGGCGCATAGTTCAAATGACTACGTATGTATTATATAAATTCACATAAAAATATTTAAGCACTTAAAATTTAACTTTGACTGTTAAAATATTTAACCACTTAAAATTCAACTTCGATCGATATAGGTATCATCCTTCATTTGTTGTATATTCACATTATACGGTCTCAATAAAAAGTTTATTATTGTAAAAGAATTATATTATGTAAGAGGAATCTTTCAGATAATTTTGTTAAAAAATATAATGACGAGACCTTAAAAAATCAATTTTTTCGAAAATTGATTTAATCATTATTTGTTTCTCTATCAACCTTATACTTCTTGTCTAAAATTTTTTTAAATATGCTTTCTTTCCAACATAATATGTCTAATAAGATTAAAATTAATCCTACGTACACGTAGGATTAGTTAATCAGAAACTCAATAACGATAGTTCATGTCGAGTAGCAAAGAAAAGTTTTTTCTATGTTTCGCTTCGTTTTCGTTTAATAAAATATGTTATCAGAATGCAAAAATGAGAAGAATATATTTTAAATTTAATGATATTTGAAATTCAATAGAATTCAAAAATACTTACTTTAATGTAGGGATAAAGATTGAAGTGCTTCGCATAACTCATGAGGTATTTTTTTATTAAGCTGTGGTGAATGAAAGACGGGCCATCCAGATCTTGAAAGGGGAAGTCAGGTATCGCCATTATTTCCTTCGGTATATTTGTCCTGCAAGAAAAACGGAAACAATTCGTTTTCTCAGTATTTAGGTGATCATGCGTACGACTTTTATTAATTTTATCTGTCGTGGAGTTCAAAAGATACGGCGACCTATAACCCAAGACTGGCGATAAACAAAGTTGCTAGTTATTAGCAATTTAGCTGAAATAAACTCTAGTCTATTTTGAATTTACTTGATAGACACAGACATAATTAGAAAGATATTTTTCCATCTTGTGATTAAGCGTGTTTATATTACGACGAAAAGAAATATTTCTAATTCTTTCTATTTTTTACTAATATTATTCGATATGCTGTTTAGCTAAAATTAAGTTGACTATCGAAGATTTGAACAAGAGTGATTTGGTAGTTTTCAGAACCATAGAATCACATTAATATATGAGAGGTACAGATGAAATAGATAAGAAAATTATAATTATATCATTCGAACGCAAATAGGGAATCATGTTCGCATTCGTCATCATTGTTGTTCGATCGGTTTCGTCCAAAAATCTATATCTTCGTAAGAGTCCTTGAGTCTTTCACATTATCACGCAATGCTTTTCAATCTATATTGCAGATCGCTTCGTTATTTGATTTATCGTTGACATATGTTCTTCCTTTCCGGAATTCAGAAAATCAATCTTCTCATTAATATATCACAAAGTGTATCGCGTGTGCAAGCAAAGTTTATCACGTTACTGCATTAGACCGGGTGTTTCTCATGTATATGTATGCAGGGACGCTGTATTTATTGTTTTTTAATTGTAAAAGACGCTTATTCGTTACGTACTTTTATTCCAAACTTGTTGCAAATTAATTTCTGTTTTGGAATCGAACTTATGATCTGCCGCCTCACCAATAGTCCTTCATTTTTATCGAAATGTAACCGCCGTGTGTCACAGGAATCCCAACTTCTATTAAGAATATAATTGAGATTGCACAATCAGTTATTCTATTATGCATTATAAAGAATGACAAAATAAAAATATATCTATGCACACGCACACGTACACGCAAATATCTGTGATGACACTGCGATCAAGTTTCACAATTAATTAGAAAAAAAATCTATTTAGATTCTAATTGATGGAAAGATCTAAAATTATGTTTGGAGATGAGTGACTAATGCCCAATTTCTTCACTTTTAGATAACTTTATCCATGAGGTATCTTCTACATTAAAATGGAGATATCTCCTGAATAAAGTTGTCAGCAACTTATCTAGAAGTGAAAAAAATTGGGCATAATTGCAAGATAGCAGTGACACAGATTTATTGAACAAGACTAAAAAAAGAGAGAAGGAAATTGTGTATTAAACGAGAGATATGCATGTTGCATAAGACATCTAAAAGACTCTTTGAAATGTTATTTGGGATCCTATAGTCAATAATAGCAAATGCATATTAATATAAGGTATCCCACAACCCACACCCATTCTTTTAAAAACGGATTCTTTGAAACATTTTAAGATGAAAATCCTAATACGAAAATGTCAAGGCCATAATAGTTTTTAAATTAATAGTGGTTAAAGTTTACTATAATCATGGATGATATTATCATCATGACAAGATTGACAAATGATGAAGATGCTTCTGGGGACCTCTCAGTTCAAGATTATCATATAAAGAGTGCGCAGAGCATGATGTATCATTTGTTGTTCACCAAATAATAAAGAAGATAAAACGATACTTTTCACGCGCTTCGTACGTAAATTGGAACGCACTCAAAGATGCAGACATTTTTATTAAAAAATTATTGTTACTTCTACATTGTTACTTCTAAACTACTTTTACTACATTACGTACACATAATTAATATTGGATCATATAACAAAATATCAATTTAATAGCGAGATACGACTCGTTTCCAAATAAATTCATAATCATGTGTAATAAACATTTTTGTAATATCTATAGATAAATTAAATGTGAAAAGAATTAAATATATTGATAAAGTAAGACTAAAACATGTCAAATATTTATTTAATCTCAATATACAAATATCAAATAAACGGTACACATATTTTTCAATAATTATTGTAGTAAAACGTTGAAAAAAGATAAGAATGTAAAAATTGATATAAATTACATCGATATGGGTATACATTGTTAAAATTTATAGAGAGTATAAATCGATATCTTTATAAATCGATATTCTTACTGATAATTCAAATATATAAAGTTCCCGGGGAAAAAAAAGTTTTGTATATAATTATATATAAAATATTTTTTCCTGATTGTAAGCAATGGATTAATTAAATACTTTTAAATACATTTGATAGTTTACGCTTGCACTATCCTCCGTTTTAATGTTTGAAGGTCATTATTAAAAGGTCATGTGTGCCTTAATATGCACAATAAGACACAATGTGACACAGTGATTATGTGATCTTTATTTAACTTTGGCTGCATTCAGCAGACTCAATAGTTGAGTGAGCGGTCGTTACTATTATATTAATGTATTCTTTTAAATCATACAAGCATTTAGATCAGCATTTTAGATCTCGAAAAATATCAATAGTAGCGAGCGCTCATTCAACTGTTGAATTCGCTGAACACAATCATAGTGTCATACCGTGTTATTTGTCGCTTGTTGGAAAGCACATTATAACGAGTACTTCAAACACATTTTATTTCAGAGCAAACAAAATCAAGAAATATATATTTTGATATTATTCATTCTTATAGTTTTGTCATTTGAGAATTAGTCAATATTTTTATTTTTTTAAACGAAGCGTTTGTGAGCAAATTTTCAGAGGAAAATTTTGCTTGTTTTAAGATCCTAAATTCATATTTTGGCGGTTTAATCCGACAACATTCTGTATATGTGCTTAAAATACACGGCCAGTCTCGCGCTTCGATATCATTGCGCTAATTGCTCTTGGCATGAGACACTATCGTGGCTCCTGATAAAAAGTTATATAATGCTTTCTATTTACTTGGTTATTGACAATCTTACCTGAGATTCTTGTACATGCTGCTATGAATCAAAAGTCCATATTTGTCAAGATCTGTTTCATCAGTATATACCCAGGTGCCACCGATGTGATCAGTTTGTTCGAAAAGGACGAGATTATAAGAATTTAATTTGGCCACTACATGACGAGCTACCACCAGACCAGCCACTCCACCACCCACAACAGCGATTCTCGTTTTACTACTCGGCATAATTTTTCAATAAAAAGTCTAAAAAAGATATATGTATATTAGCTGTATTTTAAAAATTTTAAAGAAAAAGGATTCAGAAAAAAAGATAACTGGAATAAATCTAAAAAAAGAATGTACCAGAGATTCGGATCGAAATTACATTTCGGAATCAAATTTCGGACTGACTACAGTTATCGTCCGAGGCTACTTTCGATTTCGATATCAGTTCCTTTTAGCGGTAATGCTGACCATTGTAAGTATAATATTATACTGAAATCAAAAAGGATCAAAATTTCAGTAACCATTAAGATAAGGAATTGATAAAAGAATTGGAACTAAAAGTTGAATTTAGCCTCGGACTATTATCCAGATCGAAATTTTTCAGTCTAAATCCCTGGAATGTATTTTGAGATAATGTTACATACGTTTCTCTTCTTTCCAGTGAAATTGAATAACACAATATATTTCTTAATTGATAAGCAACAAGTTTAATTTGGTAATATTATCAACAAACAATTTAGATTTAATTTCACTGATACTATCGTCACTGTTATATTATTTTCGTTTGTCGATCGTAAAAATATATAAATGATGTCCTGCTAACAAAATTATCCGCGATTTGAGATATTGAAACGAAGAGAGCAACGAATATGACATTTAACGCAATAAATGTCAGAGACATTAACTTGATAGTCGATCTGATTCGGCCAAAGGCTCAAATAAGACTGATCAACGAAAGCAAGTCTACATATATTGGACTATTATCGTTAGCCTGGCTGTTCGCTTTATATTAACGTTCTATATATGGAAAATGTTTTCTCCGGTTTACGCTCCCCTTCTTTTTCTGATGAAATAGTTGTGGGTCAGCGTCAAACGTGTTGACCCAGCAGAGTATTCGAATGAGAGAGAGAGAGAGAGAGAGAGAGAGAGAGAGGGGAGGGGAGGGAGAGAGGCCGATTAAACTCTCATTAATAAAAGCATAATTTCGAGCTGAGTTGCGGGATCATTCCAATTTGCATTAATGCGGCAAGTAGAAAAAATAAACATCACTTTTATATAAAAATATAATATTTCAGAACTCACGACACTTTAAATTGGGTTCCACCTTTCGATCTTCAGCTCACAGTTTATCTAAAGTTTATAAACAAAAGAATAAAAAAGTAAGAACATAAGAGAGTAAGGCAGTGAGCTGAAGTTTACCGAAAGATGGAACAATCAAGTCGTAGTATTGTAAAGATGAAACTTAACAGGACTGCGTTCGGATTCCTATCTGCTCCCCGGATGTCATATCATCCTTGTTGTTTATCGAACGTTAAACAAAGATGACACCCGAGGAGCACTCGGGTGAAAATCCGAACGCTGCCCAGATATGTAAGTAATTAAGAGTAAGGTCCATATATTCAGAACACGCTTACTTGCTATATTTTACATTGCTTTACGTTATTTTACGTATATCATAGAAATTCGGAGATAAAAGTGCGTTCTGGATACGGACCTTAATTTTTATGTCTAAAATCTTTAATAGTCAGACGATAATAATGATGATGCGTTAAAGGGACAAGGAGCTAATTTAAAAGATTATTTTCTGTTTTATAAAATGTTTAAAGTGTGTTTAATAATTTTTTTTTACTTCAAAGAACGAAAACTATGAGTGTAACAACGATTAAATGCACTAGAGTATCCCGGTATGATCAGAACTTTTGAAAAGTGTGACCACAATGGATTAAATAATTTATGTAATATACATTATATAATTATCATTTTTAATTAAAAAATGTATTTTTAATTATACGATTAAAAGTAAAATTTGAAATTTATTTTTATTCGTTCTGTGAAAAAGGATAAATCGATATTCGATCATGTATGCACACTTTCATTCTTATTATACTATTTATATATATATTAATCTATGAAAATTTTAAATTTTTGGAAGTTATTATTATTGCTCCTTTTCATAATATTATACAATAATAAATACAAAAATTCATGACAAACGATAATTCGATATTTGATATTACGCAGAAATGCTCATATATCTAATTAAAATTATGTATTAGATTACTATATAAGAATAATAAAAGAAAATTAAAACTTGGATCTATGTATATGCGAATGAGATTTGTAGGATATTCTTAGAGATTGTTTGGAGTTATATAGCTTGTTACCATATTACCATGTACAGATCTACACAGTCTATTAAATTAAAAATTAAATAATGAAGTTTTCAATTACGCAAGAAATTGTAAATTTGATTAGATTATAAAGTGCTAAGGCACCAGAGGTAAATGCAAATAATAATAGTGATTAATATTACGTTACTTGCTATTAACATTAAGATCATTAACTATAGAAGTTTATTTTGTGTGTAAATATGTTTAATAGTAATACATGTTGCAAAGATATTTATACATGTTTACATATACAGGTATACCCTACATCTCTTGATAGTCTCAGACTTCTCGTTCTCGTTTATTTCAGAGAATAAAAGAAATTAAATATTTTTTGTATATACTCATCCCGTTAATTGCTATTGTATTTCAATCATATTCATTATAACTTAAAAAACTAATTATTATCGAATTAAAAAAAATGATTATTTTATTAATATACTTTTTTGTGTAGTTTTCTCTTGCCACATAACTTTTATAAATTATTTTCGTAAACAAGTAAACAATGATAAGAAAACGAATCTACTAATTTTATTCAATATTATATCATCAATTATTAAAATATTATCACTATGCAATTAAAATATTATTACGTTATACGTTTACGAAATATAATATATATGTATTATGAAACATACAGAGTGTATCCTTCTACAAAGTTCAAAACTGCTACAGCGGCTTCAACACGTGAAAACAAGTCGAAAATGTGATATGCCTAATAGACATGTCCAATTCTAAAAAATTTTAGAATTACGGAGTATTAAATAAGAAAACATAAACCGAAGTAAATATTGTTCAGAGTCCTTTATTTTATTGTTCTAATTCCTGACTCTTATTCTGATAGACTAGTAGATCTTTTATTCGTCTCCAAAATGAAATGAATGAAATTGAGAATTCAGAACAATTGTGCCAGAAATATTTGATGCTACTGATATCATCCGTGAAACTCCAAATATTTTTCAAAAAGTCCCAAACAATTTATTAATTCGTACTAAAAAGTGTGTCGAAGTCAATGAAAGAATTTTTGAGCATCCTTTGTAAAGCATTAAATAAAATAACGAGCATTAAACAACGTTTATTACAATCAGAGAGAAACCTGAGTGTAGATACCTGGCCTTTTTTATGTACAAAACCTCGTAAGGTAATGTTCACGTTTTTGTGGTTCTCTTCCATACTATTACGTGGATTAGACAAGGACGACCAATCAACTTTGATTATTTTCTCTGTTACGATTCATGTTTTCTTATTTCGATATCCCGTAATTTCAAAAAATTCCAGTTCGCAATCAGACATATATTTATTAGACATTTTCATATTTATTCGACTAGTTTTCACATGCTGAAATTGCTGTAGCAATTTTAGTACTATATGGAGAAACACCTATATAATACTATTTTATGTTTCTATATTATATAATTATTGAATATAATAAAAATAATGGAAAAACATCTTTTAGTACATGGCAATTAATAAGACGAGTTCAATACTTATATTTTTCCGATATTACCTATGTTTATCATTTCAGATAGTGTAAACACATGTAAATAAATAAGTTTTTCACTTAAAAACATTTTCATAATTTATGTTAGATACTTTACTGTAAAGTTACAGTCTAATGATATACATGGACTGGATAACTTTTCTTGCACTCATGCACTTGCAATCGTAATTATGATTCTAACTAAAAATTAATATATAATTATTCTTTTATAAAAGTCTAAACAATAAAGCCACTTCAAGACAAATATCGCTTTTTATTTCTACAGTTTGGTGTGCTGCTGTGAACGCAACAAGATCGCTTCTCCATCAAATATTTTCGAATTTTTATTCCAATCTACAAAGTTCAATAATCCCTTGTGAGATCACAATATTTGAAAATTAAATATTTATTCTCAATAAAAGACAAAAATTACGACATCACATATCAAAGATAATATTTGAGTCATTAATCAATAAACCACTTAGAATAAAACTCTAGATCTGAAACTGTTATATACAATATTTATTGATACAATTATAGTCAAATTTGACAAAATTCCTGTCAAAACATAGTGTTTCTACGATACTGTCCCAATACATGGATGCATTCCATATTCTTGTTTATATAATTTTATCTTTACACAATCCTAAGACGGAATTTTCTTGGTTTTCTACTCTGCCATATGACCTACTTTATATCGTATTATGCTGCGTCACATATTTTCGATTATTAGCTCCGACGTTAAATCATTCAAATTTTTAAGATAACACAACAGCTGCCATATATATGAATGCATGTAAAATATTTAAAGGTACTATAAAAAAAGAATACACAAATGTGATAATTACGCACAATGGTTGATTTTGGTTTTAATAATTGCAGGCAATTTAGCAGTTGTTGCTAAACATATACATTCCTCTTGTTACCTCTGTGTGTGTATGTGTGTGTGTACACAGTGGATGATTAAGATCGACAAGAGGTATAGAAGAGCAACTGCTACAAAAGGCAGTAAAATGTCAAGTATGACAATCAACAGGACAGTACGACAGTCAAATGTCTGCATGACAGTCTTTTGAACACCATGAGGTCATGGGAACACTGAGAACTGTAATTCGCTACGATACCATCTCATGCCAACCGCTGCTATTTACAGAGTTGGTTTCAAGCGAAACTGAAAGAATAAGAAATATGTGAAAAAGAAAGAAATGCGAAAGATAGTATGTTAATATGGTACATTAGAGCAATTCTTTCATACATGAATAAAGTGTATCTTAATTTTATATAAAAACTTACTTGTTTTATCATTTTCTGCATCTAAATATGTTCTTGGACCCCATATCCTCACCGTAAAATCATCCGATACAGAAGCCATCATTTGATGATACACAGGATTCCATGACACACAACTGACTAACCTACTGTGTCCAGTGAGAATCGCTATAGGCAGTTCTCTTTTGATATGCCATACATACACTTTATTGTCTGTAATAAAATAGGAAAAAAACAATTATATTTGTTCATAATTATTAGTCATGTTGTATAATTACTTTTCTTTAAAGAAAACTAAACAGTATATAATGATGTAATGTATAAAAATATATCTTATTTTTACATATGACAAACCTTCACTGCCAGAGGCAATAAAATCTTGATTAACTCCTCCGAAACAGCTATGGATAGTAAAATGTCCTTGAGTGACGCCTCGAAAACGCCTTATAAGGCATTTATCTTCTAAATCCCAAAGATGCATACCTTGATTTGCCACATTAAGTAATACGAGTCGATCTGTTCTGTCTACGCTAAATGACATAATGGGATGTTCCTCTTGTAATCTGTAATGATGCACAGAAATATCTCTAAAAAATTTTGTTCACAAAATAATACAGGTTATCAGTAATTATAAATCATACATAGTGGCATCGCCTAAGTCGTCGAAAGTATAGCTGCGAATTCTGTGATGTGTATCAGACGCTAGAACAGTCCTCCCGTCACTGCGGCACCACAGACATTTTACTCTTACTCCTTCCCATGAATCAGAAACATTACCGTCCATATCCTGAATGTTTTTATATTTACAATGTATTCAATTAGAATTTAATACATTGAAAAAGAATGTTAGATATGTTTAATAAACTTTTTAAATCTTTCTTCTTAACTATTCGGCTGTAAATGTTGTTGTATGTATACATCTAGTAAGGGAGGATTACAACTTTCAAGATAAATCAAATTTCTAACTAAATAATTGAAACATACTTCGTTGTTCAATGACATTGTTATTTTGTAGTGATTGGAAATTTTGGACAATATTTTGTAATTGTAAAGAATTAATATTTTACTGATTGAGAATTTTCAAAAAGTAGTTTTATGTTCCATAATATTAATATT